GAACCAAACCAGGTAGTAAAGGCAAATGTAATATACTGTCATTCAATGTGGTTGGTAACTAGGCAAGCATAAAACAGATTAACAATGGTAATAACCCACTTTAGCATACAAAGTGATTAACAGTAAGGACTGGTATAAGATGACATTTGGCATCCAGATCAGCATAATCAGTAGCAAGGCCACCTCAAGTGCAGCAGTGAGCAGTGATAAAGTTGAAACTACTGAGTGCTGGAACGATACTGCCAGGGTGCATTTATGGCGGCAATGCTAGTCCTAGTATGACTGTGTATGCACTGTCCAAAAGAAAAGTGGGGGGAACAGGGGAACAAAGGGGATTTGCAGAATAATTATTATGGGAGGGGCAGTTGTTTAAGATGTTCCTCTGCCAGCTATCGTTGGGGCGATAGTTCTGGTGCACATAACGACAGCCCTAGTTAACCTGTATTCAGTATAGGTACAGTATAGTCTGTGCATAGGTGCAAACTAGATGTGGTTCAGATGCATTAAAGGTTCAGTATAAGGTTGGTATACTGTAGGTGCAGTCCAGGTTTTGAATAAGTGCGTTATAAAGTGCAGTGTGGATACGGTATGGATTGTGTACACTTTAAATCCTGCTCGCTGTATCAGCAATGGGCAACTAGCCCTCTCACCACTCCCAGGGACGCTGCAGTGGCCTTTCGCTGCACAAAGGGGAGGCCTCCACAGTCTCTCTGCAAAATGCCTCCAGTGATCAGCAGTGGGAAGCAGAGGGTGAGAAGATGCTCTGGTCTCCCTGTGGAAACGGTGCAGATGCAGTCACTGCCCAGGTGTCTTCACCCCGGGCCTCAGTCTCTGGCTTTGTTTACTCGCCCTGTGGATGATCCATGTGCACCAGGACCAATGTACACACCATGGTTCCCAGACTGCAAAGAGGAAGAGGTTTCCAGTGTAGGCTAGTAAAAGCTGTTTCATGGTTCCCTTTCCTCCTCAGTGTCCTCAACTGTATTGTAAAGGTCCATCAGTCCCATTCTGTGATGTCTCAGACTACAATTCCAAAGATCCATCTGGTTTCCTGGCTATAGATCTCCCTCTTATGACTGTAGCGGGTAGTACACGACAAATCATGCAAAACAGCATAACAGCTGAAAGTGAAAGCAAACTGTAAAGAGGAAAATGTTTCTGTAGTCCAGCACCTGGCTACATTTAACAGGTTCCTGCCTGGCATATAGCCAGATGGCGGCCTGCAAAACCCCTCGTCCCTCCGGGTGGACGCCATATGGCGTACTTTCAGGCATGTGCAGTTTGTACACCCGCAGAGCCGCGCAGCGGCGCGATCTGTCACCGACTGTGTACCAATCACAGCAGGTCACATGACAGTTGTATACAATGGATGACTTCCTTTCATGCCATCCATTGTATACTAGTGTGTCTAGCTGTGACTGGTCACAGTGATCACATGCACAAGCTGGGCCAATCACAGCCCAGCTGTGTCATGTGATTAGCCGTGGTCAAATCACAGCTAAGCAGAAAAAAAACCCCTGAATGAATCGATGTCATTCAGGTAAATGCTTGCTTACAGCAAAGTAATTCTTTGCTATAAGCAAATTGTGGTAAAAAAAAAAAAAAAAATGCTGATCACTTCCCCAAAGTAGTACAATGTTACTATGGTAACATTATACTGCTTTGGTCATAGTGAAATATGAAAAAAAATCTTAAAAAAAGAAAAAAAAATGTATTAAAAATTAAAACTAATAAAAAAATAAAAACACAAAAATTATATATTTTTTTTTTTCACACTGTCACCAGTCAGTGTCCCTCATCACCGCCATGTCAGTTATATGATGATGCTGTACTGCACTGGTGACAGTATGTAAAAAAAATAGTGAAAATAATTTTTTTCAATTTTTTCATTTTCCAAAAAATTATGACAAAAAAATTACAACTTCAAAAAACTCGCCATGCCTCTTATGAAATACGTCGGACTATCTACTTTGCAAAAAGGGGTCATTTGGGGGATATCTGTACTGTTCTGACATTCTTGGACCTCAAGAAATTAGATTGGCTGTCAGTACTTCAGGATTGATCAATATTTAGATATATACCATAGTTTGTGAACTCTATAACTTTCCTACAAACTAAATAATACATCCTAATTTGGGTTATTTTCACCAAAGACATGTAGCAGAATACAACTCGGCCTAAATTTATGAAGAACAATTATTTATTTGCAAACTTTTATAACAGAAACAAAGAAAAATGTGTTTTATTTTAAAAATGTTCGGTCTTTTTTTGTTAATTTAGCAAAAAATAAAAACCCCAGTGGTTGATTAAATGCCACCAAAAGAAAGCTCTAGTTGTGTGAAGAAAATGATAAAATTTTAATTTGGGTACAATGTTGTATGACCGCGCAATTGTCATTCAAAGTGTGAGAGCGATGAAACCTGAAAACTGGCTGGGCAGGAAGGGGGTAAAAGTGACTGGTATGGAAGCTGATAATTACTTTTAATTATTTTTTAATAAAATAATTTAAGGGGTATAATTTAAACAAATGTGTGTGAAACAGAGATCATCTTATTCTAAATCACATTAGCAATCTGTGCTAACATTTTTCAAAACTTGGTTCTCATCACAATAGATAATGTAGGCTCTGATTCCTGCTTTGCAGTGCTACCCAGTGGTTGTACTTTAATGCTCCTTTTCACAATGCCAGTTTATAGGTTGGCTGAAGTGCAGTCAAATCCTAACTATACTGGTTTGTCTCAATCTTCCTACTTCTACATCTGCAGGACAGCTTGTTCTTTTGAAAAACAACAGACTTAGTGGCTGGATCACCAGATGAAAATAGAAGAAAGAAAGCATAAGAAAGAAAACTAATACAGCCATCAAATCAAAGAAATGGTAAGCTGCATATACAACATTTAGATAATAAATGTTAGTATTTAGGTTTAATACCTATTTAAGTCCATAATGGTACTATTACAGGGGCGGACTGACCATTCGAGCACTCGGGCACTGCCCGAGGGCCCCGGGGTCAGTAGGGGTCCCCATGAAATGCCCCTGGTACCTTTTTTATTGGCTTTTTTGGGTGTGCTTTGAGTGTGGGCAAGGACACAGGGGCCCCATGATCCCCTATTGCCCGGGGGCCCCATGAGTTGTCAGTCCGCCCCTGTACTATTGAATGTTCCGACAAATGACTTTTCTGAAATTCAGTATGAACATTTGAACAAAATTCTGCTGGTGCAAGCCAGATTTAGGGCTCATGTACACTGCAGCTGATAAACTCAGGTTTAGGAGCTTTTCTGCGTTTTTTTTAGCAGCCCCTGAACTCACCCTAATGTTGTCCTATGTGTCCATGTACACTATGTAGTTTACAGTCGTTTACAGGCAGTTAAGTTTACAGTCGTTTTTTTGAACGCAGAAAACTTGCGTTCAGCAGTAGATTTTATCAGCGTTTCAAACACAAAACGCTTGTAAACACGGCTAACCGTGTTTATAGGCATTTGCGCTTGAAATTTTTTTTTAACTCTTCCATTTCCAGATGCTGTCCAGAGCCCATTTTTTCATCGTGAAAAATGCATGAAAAGTGTTTTCCCGAAACTCAATTGGACCTAGTACACCATACTTTGAGGTTTTGCATGAAAAAAAATATGTTAGACACTGCTGCAATAATTTCTGCACAGAAATGAGCTGGAACACATCCAAACACCACAAAAAAAAAAAACAAAGACAGCTAATCTCAACAAATACTGCTCTCTCTGCTTCTGCTCTCTCTATTTCTCTCAAAATGTCTGAAATAATTAATAATTTACTGTTTTTTCAGTGCATTCTGGGCATTTTGGAAGGTCTACTGAGGTTATCTTTAAAAAACGCTTGTAAACGCAAACGCTCATAAACACGCATAAATGCAGTATGCAAATGCAACTAAACAGACGTTTTTTGACCTACGTTTTCCAGCAGTCAGTTTCCATCGTTCAGAAGTGTCCCGTGTACATGGAACCTTAAACTGGGTAAATGAAATGCAGCCTGTTTGCAGGAACTAGCCTTATTTCAATTATGTGTATCCCTCTGTGTTCATCATAAATCGATCGTTGGACTGACTCCTGTCAAATGGTCCTGCTGGAAAACCAATTTTCGATGAGCACGGTGGGGAAGATTCCTGCATCCACATCTCTCACCTCATTGTGTGTTCCCAGTTTTAGGCTAAAAGTGACACCAATCTAACAAACAGTACTTCTCCTTTGTGGGGCTATCAGACAGAAAGTCAACTGTGCATTTGAATATTTTGCTCACCAGTCCCCACCTCCCATTCGCAATACCATTATTTCAGACAGTCAGAAACTTTAATATATCAATCAACAGTATAAAAACCCTGTCCGCAAAAGTCAGAATGAATTTTTTTTTTGCTTAGTGTCTATTTTCAAACTTTACTTTTTGAAAATAACTACTTTTACTTACTATAAAAAAAAAAAGTAAACTAAAAAAAACACTTGCAAAGTAATTTCTCATTGATTGCCATCTGTCAGTGGCAAGGGACGATGGGTAGTCGTCACCCCGGATTCCTTCTCTTTTTTTGTCTGAACTGACAGTTTTGGCAGCATCCCCCTTTTAGTAAACCTGGTGGCTTTTGCAGAAAAATCCAGGGATACAGAGCTGTCAGCCCAGATCTGGTTCTCTGAATCAGTGCAGCGGACAGCTCTGCGTTCCTCAGAAGCGGTGGGAGCAGCTGCCACCCCCTTGTTCTGCGATCACTATAGAGCTGGTGCCAAGGACCAGCACATCGCTGTCTATCAGCGATAATCGCCCTGTCCAGTCTAGACTTTTCTCTTTTTATAAATCCACTGATGAGTTTGCACATTTCAGTAAACCTAGTTAAGCTTTTTTTTTTCTCTCAATTTGCCCTGTGTTCTCAGACAAGAGGTTTAGATTGTCATTGGTAGTCACGCCCACCCGTGTTACCTAACCAGTGGACTCAGCGATGGCTATATAGCCAGGTAAAGGGCTTAGAACCCTCACACTCCCCCAGCAAAGCAGCAATGACTCTCACCAAGGAAACCCGTGTCACTCTTAATGATGGCAATATGATGCCAATCCTAGGACTTGGCACTTATGCTGCTCCTGAAGTGAGTATTATTAATGGGGTTTTTTTTTTGCTGTTGTTTTTTTTTCTCTAATTAATGGCCAGTAATGTGGTTCACGACTGAATCATGAGATGTTTAGCCACAAACTGATAAGGAGCACCTGCAAGCTCCCACATCTGATTGGCTTCTTGTTCGCTGTTGAATACAGGGATGAAGCTTTCAGCGATATATTGTAACATCCATCACGTAGGAGTGAGAGGTTGTGATGGATCTCAGCGATATAAGATTTAGAAATGAGGAGTCAGGTTGTAATCTTACCATTTCTCTTGGCCTGAAGATAAATAAGGATGTTGAGATTTTTTGTATAGAAGCAACTTTAAATTATGCCTAAAGTCAGGATTTTTATATTTTGCCTTCCCTGGTTCTTCCATTCTCCCCCTTATTAACATGCTAATGAAATGTTGAAATAAAACATTTCCATTTTCATTACATACCTTATTCTGAACCCAGTGATATAATACCTGGGTCTCTGTGATCCTCTGTGCAATACAGGTAGAACATGGTGAATGGGAGGGGTCGACATGGCAAACAGGGGGCTGGCTCTTGGGAGGAGTTATGCAAATATTAAAATGCCTTGGTAGGTGGATGTGAGTCTGGAGGAGGGCTGTTCCTAGGCAGATTGTATTTGCATGAACATTGTCTTAGGTAATGCCCACATGTGTTGCTGAGCTTCCATGATTTAAAGAATTAATTTCACTGAGTGAAAGAGGTGGGACAGTCAGGCTGGGGATGAAAGGGCTGGATGATGCAAGAATTGAGACAGACTGTAACTGATTTGCTGCAGGTTTTAATGCACATTGTGAGAAGCTCTCAGTATGCAGTGAAATCATAGTGAGGAATTTCAGTATAGTAGAGGAGTCTATACAACTATGCAAGACTGAAGGGAAGGCTGGTCAGCGTTAACATCCCTGATGGGCATAATTTGTCTTTGTTTTTGTTTTTTTTTTTTTTTTGCCATCTGTGCCCTGTTATGGAGTTTTTCCTCATTTTTAGTCCTAGAGACAGAGCAGGAAGTGAGAAATCCCCTCTTCAACAGATGTCACTAAAACAGATGTCCTTTTTGGAAAAACTCATCCTGTTTCAGTGACAACCATAACTTTTTGAATTTTATATCACTTTGGACAGTGGTCGCCAGGACAATAAAGGTAATCTGCCTGGGGAGGAATAAAATCTAAAAAAAAGGTTGGCATTAGATCTACAGTATATTTAATAGATAGATATAGGGTGTTTCAACTTTAGATACACTTTATGTAGCACTAGATATAAGATGGTATGAAATGCTAGTGGGAAGATGAAAAACTAAACTTTTATTTCCTTCTCTGATTGAGACTTGTGGCTTAAACATGCATGCTCCGTTATGAAAAATGTTAAGTCCTTTGTGTCTTCTGTACTGTGATTGGACATATAGGTGGCAGATAAAGAGGGTAAACTGGGTCAGGAAAGGAATAATAATGGGTGCTGGTGAACATGGCATGGTTCTCATTTCTAGTGTTTTTTGGGATCTTTGAGATCGGCACACATTCTTTCATTGCAACCATCACTTGTGGAAAAAGAAAAAAGCAACACACAATCTTTGATGCTACAACAGCTGTGACAACCCTAACCAAATACCCGGATTACTAAGGACTGTGCAGAAGAAGAAAAGAAGGTAGAATAAATGATACAGTGGAGACCACTTAACACCTTAAAGGAAACTTACCAAGAGAAACAAGAAGGCTGCTATCATCTTGTCTCATTTGGTGAAATGGAATGGTATTGAATTCAGAGGGTCAACATAACCACCAGCATTTTCCCGAAAAAAGCCCACAAAGACCATATCTATTTTTTCCTATGAAAGGTTTATTTTAAAAAGAGGCATACACCTGTGATGTCCACATGAGAGAGGAGTTTTGGTTCCAAACAAGGACACTTGTATAGACTCTATATATTTCACTGTGCGCTATCAAAGGTTCCAACTCACTGGCCACAAGAGATGAAGCGACAGTTCTTGCGCAAACGCTTGTTCTTAAAGTGGTTGTGAACCTCAGACATGAAATATGAACAAAGCATATCCCTTTATAGTTTGTACTTGTCTCAATTAAGAGAACAAAGTGTAATTTCTGTCTGCTACTGTGTTCCTTTGCTATCAGCATGAATCACCTCTGACAAGTTTTCCTGATACAAAGAGAAAAATGGTGACAGGGACACAGCCTGTGAAGGACAGCATCAGATCTGTTCCTTTGTGCTGTGTGTGTGTGGGGGGGGTGTTCCTTCCTCCAATCAGCTCCCAGAGCTCTCTTCACTGAGCTTTGCAGTGTGTAATTTCAGCCCCCCCCGTTTTCTAAACTCAGACAAGCTTTATAAATTCTGCACTTTGAACAGATGTAGAGAAGAGAAGACGAGAAGACTGCAGATAAACAGGTAGAACATATGTAGTTTTGTTTAATCTCTGAATATCATCTGAAGCCAGTCATTTCACTGGGTGTATGTAAGGGTTTACTACCACTTTATGCTGCAGAGATTCAACAACAAGATAGACTGGCACATGGAATTATCACTCAGGGCATACACTGTTAGTTCTTTTTGTTCAGCCAGGAGGCTGAACAAAACAAAAAAGGTGCTCTTTCTGATGGGTTTCCATGGAGTGGTAAAACCAGGGGGGGGGGCTGACCCGCAATCTTACCAAACACCTGAACTATCCCCATATAGCCAGACCGGACTATATGGATGCCATAGTCATGTTGCTTGTGGCCATGGCATTTTCAACTTGGGGTACAGAGTTTGACAGGTGTACTGCCTCTCAAACTCACCCATTCAGTTCTAACACAATTGCAGTGCGGTAGTGCAGAATTATAGGGCTAAATCAGATGATGAGAAGGTGTAATAACACCTCCCCACCGCTTGTCAAATACCCTCTAAAAAGTGAGGGTATTGCACTCTACCACATGTATGAAACATTTTCCTTCATTCACACAAACAAGGTGGCTGGAGGAATACACTGCACCAGAGCATTGTATTCTGACAGGTACATCTGCCGCTGTCAGAAAACACTGATCAGTGGCGTAAGCCACTGATCGAGAAAAAAATTTTCCAACATATCTCTTTGACAGAAATTGATCAAATGTTCAACTTCTGTCGATGCAGCTACACACTGATAACAATTCTGCTGACCCCCTGCTGAACCAGCTGAATGTCAGTTAGTATATGGCCAACTTTATACATATCTTCTTCTGGAATGCAGTATACCCATTGTTTCAGTAAATTCCTACCTAATAACTATTAATAACTGCCATTACTAGAAAAAAGGAAAGTTGAGGAATGTCGAAAAATAGTGCTGAACCTGTAGAGTTACTTTGCTGGTATTGTTATCTTAAGGAATTAGTGTTGGTGTAAATTATCTGGTTCTTGGGCAGTCGTCTTCTGCACCCCAGAGGATCTCCATGATCTCTTTGGCTTGTAGCGTTATGTAACGAGATTTGAAATTGATGCACCAAACCACTTCTAAGAGCTCCAGATAAAACTTCATTCTATTAAAAGTCAGGGGTACAATCCAAAAATAGCCAATGCATTTCGAAGGCCCAAGTGTCCCCTTCATCAGGGCTTGACTGGCAACAATGTGAACATACTGGAAGTGAACTGTACTAACTCGTACAATGGTATTTTTTCCAGTGTGAAATACAAGCTGCTAAACAAGCTGCTGACAATGTCTGTGCTTGTAATTCGCACTGGAAAAAATACCATTGTAGGTCCAGTTTACTTCTGGTTTGTTCATATTGTTGGCAGTCAAGCCTTGATTAAAAGGGAGCTGGGACCCTGAAATGCATTTGGATTGTACCCCTGACTTTTAATGGAATAAAGTTGTATCTGGACCTATTAGAAAAAAGGAGACGCATGGATGAGGACCCATGGTCTACATACCTTTACTGGTTGGAGGTTATTTAAGAAACCAAAGACTGAATGAGTAACATAGTAAGTCCAAAGCCAAATTTTCTATTTGTTTTTCATTTTGGATAGAGTTTTCTTTTTCGTTTTGGATAGAGTAGAGAATGATTAAAACCCATCAGTTTTTTTCAGTCTCTATAACTCTGTGGAGATTTTCCTTTGCTTACTATCTCATGATACAACAATAAGTGAAAGAAGATATCTTCAAAGAATGGAAAACCCTCTCTTAGACAGTGTCCCCACTAAAAGATTACCCCTATTATGGTTCCAGTGACAACTCCAAAATGTTTTAGTTTCTTTCTTTCCCAGTACAGAGGTTATAAGGACAAACAGAGAGGGACTCTACCCTTCAGAACACAGACAGAAATAAAAATCCTGGCTGGCTTTGTACACAATGTTTTGAAATCACTCTTTTCCCATTTTCCCACTCCAACAGTAAGTGTTGCCTGATCTGAAATGCAATTCCGACCCCCTTCTAGGTGCCCAAAAGTCTTGGGGAGGAAGCTGTGAAAATTGCCATTGACCTTGGTTACCGACACATTGACTGCGCCTTCATCACCGGCAATGAGATCCAGATTGGGAATGGCATTCGTTCCAAGATTGCTGATGGAACAGTCAAGAGAGATGACATCTTCTACACGGGAAAGGTGAGCTGCTAAACTCTTCTTAGACATAGTCTGACATAAGGCACATGGCGAAGATTTACTAAAACTGGAGAGTGAAAAATCTTGCAAAAATTGGCTACCATGCAGCTGTGCATGGTAGCCAATCAGCTTCTAACTTCAGCTTGTTCAACTAGGCTTTGACAATAAAACCTGGAAGCTAATTGGTTTCTATGCAGAGCTACATCAGATTTTGCACTCTCCAGTTTTTGTAAATCAAACCCACTGATGAAATTTGTCTGCTATTTAATTTTTGGTGCTACTTTTACATTTTTTACAAGCTTTCTCTTCCATATTTTGTTATTACATCAACTATATAGAGACATGCAGCTTAACTACTAGAGGAAGATCTCAGCTTGATTATTCCTGTTCTCAGATTTTGACACAACATATCAGCCATACACAGAGTGCATTGTTTTCATAGGTTGGCCAACTCATAGGTATTTATTTATATAAAAATTTGCATCCCTGTTCATCATTCAAAGCTGAATGTAAATTTGTTTGCAAATGGGGCAAACTCAAATGTTCTCAGGAAATATTCTCTGCAGATTAAATCATATTTATTGAAGAAAAAAAGTGTGAATGAGGCAATATGGCCACTGGATGGTGCTGTGTATCATAGGAAATATGTATGCCCTCAGCTCCAACTAGTGGCCATAAAGCAGTATTTTGCTTATTCATACGTTTTTTTTTTCAGTGAATAACGAAATAAAATAATAGAGAATATAGCCTGAGAACATTCAGTTTTGCCCTTTTCGCAAAGAGAATGATTTTACATGCAGTTTAGATGGAGGAACAGCTGTACGAACATTTTACACCCTCAGACTGGAGGAGCAGTAAACCAAAACTATTGCGTAGTACTGCAAAGCAGTAAACAGATCCTGAGCATTCGATGGGCAAATGTGGCTGCCCTAGATTATACAGCATTACGAATTTTCTACAGAAACTATTTTCAAAATGAACATACATTGATAATGTTTATTCATTAATTTACATATATACAGTATAAAGTATATAAAAATTTGTATTAAACAACCTGCCAACTACCTACTACTGTTCTACACAAATTACCAGGGCTGGATTCATAATGTTATTCCTTTCTAGGTCAACCATGACGTCTCAATAAATTATCATTAATAAGAAAACTACTGTCTACAGAAACATAAATAGTTATAATAACACAAAAAGTTAAGAGAGAATTGTCTGCAAAGACACACTCAGTACAATACTGAGACAACCAGTCTTGGCATGTATCAGACTTCAGTTGTGCCATGTTGAGTTGCCATTAACTGAATATAACTGTAACAATATTGTGTGCTAAATCCGGCAGGGTCATTTTCATTTTTTTTGCATTTAAAAGTAAATGCATTGCACATGTGAAAGACAATTGTGTATGTTATTCTTCCCCAGCTCTGGTGCACGTACTTTTCCCCTGAAATGGTACGCAAAGGTCTGGAGAGATCTCTGAGGGATGTTGGACTGGATTATCTGGATCTCTTCCTTATGCACTGGCCCTTCTCCCTGAAGGTGAGTGACAGTACAGCTATATACAGACATATACAGATAGCTCTTAATTTTTAGACAGAATTTTTAGCTAATTCTTAATGCTGAAAATAATGTATTATTATTATACAGGATTTATATAGCGCCAACAGTTTGCTCAGCACTTTACAATATAAAGGGAGACAATCAGGGAATTGTCTGGACTGACAACTCATGGGGCCCCCGGGCAATAAGGGATCATGGAGCCCCTGTGTCCTTTGCCCAAACTCAAAAAAGCCTATTAAAAAGGTACCAGGGGCATCTCATGGGGCCCCTACTGACCCCCCGGCCCTCGGGCAGTGCCCGATAGTTTCCAAATGGTCAGTCCGCCCCTGGAGACAATACAGCCACAATACAGTTCAATTCAAAAAGGTTAGGAGGGCCCTGTTCCTTGGAGCTTAATGTACTTATATTTTGCTTCCCTGGTTCCTCCCATCCCCCCATCAATATGCTAATGATGTTATTACCATATTCTGTTTTAATTACATACCTTATTTTATACCCAATGACATCATCACTAGGTCTCTGTGCTTCTCTATGAAGTGCAGGAAGATCATGGATGTTGGAAGGGGCCAGCAGGGTGCTCTACTTAGTCTCCTGAAAACATCACAGTACCCTGTCTCAGTACCGCTCTCAAGAGCCCTTAACCCTGGTGCCAGTGGTGGGTTGTCTCTTGTGAGAAGTTATGCAAATATTAAAAAAAGCCTTGATAGGTGTATGTCATTTGTAGGAGTGGGAGAGGAAGGCTGTATTTGCATGCAGACCTCCTTAGGTAATACCCACATGTGATGCTGAGCCTCCAGGATGGGAAGAACTGAAATCCAATGAATGAAAAGGGCAGGCCAGGGACGGTCTGGAAGGGAAGAAAAGAGCCATATAATGCTAGATGCCCTCCAGCCAAGAAATTGGGCAGGCTCTGTCTGACTTGTTGTAGCTTATAATGCGCACTGTGAGAAGCTCAAAATGTGCAATTTCAGTACAGGAGAGGAGCCTGTACAACTGTGCAAGATTGAAGGGATGGCATTTGTACAGATTTAAAATTTCAAAATGTTTTTACATTTGCAGGTAAGACAGGGTGGGTTAGAACCTCTTTCAGGATTTTTTTTATTGTACCCTCTTTGGGAAGATGTCTGCTTGCTTGCTTCCTGTGTAGTTAAAGTGTCACTAAACTCACATTATAAAACAACTATCAATAAATACTGTATTACATACTGTTCATAGTCACTCAGTCACTATGAGATACATTTTCTGTATTCTGCAAAAAAAAAAAAAAAACGGGTTGAGAATTCTGCTCTCTATCTCCCCCTTCTGTCCAAGTCCCCAGTGCAGCTAGGGATTTTGCAGAGCAGTGTTGGCAGCTCTGCACATGCTCAGTTTTCAGTGAGTTTCTATGCTAAGTATTTCCTCCATGTCACATCCGAGCAGCCCATGTGAAAATAGAGTCACACATATGGGAGTATACACAGTGGTAAATGACAGCCCACTAACCAGCTAAACACAATGGGGGTGAGATATTACATGTAGATTGATGGAGGCTTCACCTCCCTCTTTTTCTAAGACACAAATTGGGGGGTCATGGCACAGCCTGTGTCTGGCAGAAATCTGCCCACACCATGTTATTGCCATGAAATAATAAAGATTTGATTTCAAATATATGTGTATGACTATTTAAAAGAGTTTATTGATATAAATTACTTTTTTTTTACTCTGTACCCCAAAGGCAGTCTTTTTTTTTTAACATGTGACCAGCAGCAGAGGACTAGAAGCTCCTCCTGCTTATGTTTCCCTGCAGACAGGCTAGGAAAGAACTGGCTCAAGTGACAGCTGTATATCAATTAGAAAAAAGGTACTTAGATTTTTTTTTTTATTAAAACAATTGCAGAGCCATCATCCACATACAGAAAGAAAAGGGGCAATGTAAATTAAACAGTGTGTGTTTAGTATCACTAACTTGGCAGGGAGAGAGGGAAAAAGAATGGGAATACTAGCGATATAATCAATTTGTAAACAACAAATGTGATAAATCAGAACTATTTAGGCAGCTTGTAAAATTTGAGTATTTAGCTTTTTGCCTGAAGTTTAGCTTTCCTCTCCAAAACCGCTGGAATGTATGGGAAAAGTGGTTACCCACTGAGATGAGAATTGATTCAATATCGCTCCCATTCTCTACAGCTTCCAGGAATAAAGAAAAAGCAGATTATTCACGCATAACAGCCTGCAAACAACAAAAGTGCTTTGACAGTGCTAGGCTTTTTTAGCCCTCTGGACGCTTTCCATCAGCGATTGTCACTGGCAGAAAACAATGAGACTTGGCTGCAAAAATGTGCACGCAAGCAGAAAACTAAACTCTTTTTTTTTCAGTGAGCAAATCCTACCTACAGATTAGGCAACTTTGAGAAACAAAAGATAACAGGAATGCAGGGGATGTACAGCACAGAGCACAGAAGTCACTAAAAAAGCAACATTCAATATTAGGAAATAAGTCCCTTTCATATGATACATTTTAATTAAAACTTTACTATTAACCATCAGTGGTGAAGAAAACGTATTTGCATGTTGAATCGTCTATAGAAACTGGGAAATCCAAATTCTTACAGTTGTCACTAAAGCATGAGATAAGGGGTTAACATAAGGGGGCACCTCTTACTTTGGGGAGATTTCTTCTCACTTTCTGTTGTGTCTCTAGGGCAGAAAGTCAAAGTAAATCTTCCCAATGAGATACAGAGAAAAAAAAAAACTTGCCGAGGTTTTAACCCTTCTCTACTTTATCCAAACTAATAATAAAAAGGCTATACATACTGTTTAACAGGTTAGAGGAGTGATTTCCATGGTGGCCACTTTTTTTGTAGTTTCTAGCAGGGTTTTTTTTTCTTAGAGAATACGTGTCGGTACTCCAACCTTCCGAATCACCCTTTGTCTCCGCCCCCTATCTACCTCCTAGCACTGTCCCTTGGTTCCACCCCCTACCCTCCTCCCAATACTGCCCCATTTAAAGAATAAAGTATAACAAAATAAACTATTTTGTGGCGCTAAGTAATTTGTATGGAATTTGTTAATGATAACAAACAAGCAATAAAATAGATCCCCTGCAGCCAGCAACAAGTAGACCACCCCAGCAACAACATATCCTCCTAGCAAAAATAGATCCCTCCACAACAAATACCTCTCCAGCAACAATAGATCCCCCAGAAACAATAGATACCCCAGCAACAATAGGTCTCCCAGCAGCCATCAACTATACACCCCTCAACAGCAGATCTCTTCCAGCAAAAATGGACCCCTCCAGCAACATATGACCCATCTAAAAACACTAGATCCCATCATCCAGCAATACTAGACCTCCCGAGCAACAATAGACCCCCTACAATAATAGTTCCCCCCAGCAACCAGCTTCAATGAGCCCTCCAGCACTCCTTGCCATTACATACATTCAGTGTTGGAGGTGCCAGAACTGCAAGTCCTGATTTCTAGAGATATGATGTCAATATTTCCCAATATTTTATAAATTTGCATCACTGTTCTCAAAATATAAAATACATTTTAAAGACAAGGCTTATCTGCTGTGCATGCTACACATTGATGGGGTGATATCACAATAGTTTACATTTGTTACATTTTACATAGACAACATTGCTGCATTTACATTTCCAAATATATTTTACTGAAGCAACATCAACATTCTCCAACTGACTTATATTTTCCAGACATGCTCTGTATTGTTCTGTAATGTTCTGACCTCACAACTCACTAAATATAAGTTGTATTTTATGTGAGTGACATCATTTTTCAGCACCAAAGCTAAAACAGGAATTTTACAGGAATTTCATCATTAATCTACTAGGATATTTTATATTCACATTTAAACTTTTAATTTTTTTTACTCTGTTACAACATGAAATACAGTCGGCTATGTTTATAAGTGTGACTTACATAAATGCAGTCTGTGTTGGCTGACAACCACCAAATTTGACTTATCAGACTGGAGTTCAGTCAAAGCCATGAAGTTTTAACTAGGTCGGGAGATACGGGTAGTTTTTTGTAACATGGAAATCCAACCAAAGCTATAATGTTGATTTGGATGTCTTTAAGTATGAACTTCTAATGTATCTTTTATGTTTTATTATTTATGTATTTTATCTTACATTTTCTGCTGACAAATGTTTATCTTGCTCCCTTTCTCCCTAAGGAAGGGGGACTGGTAAGCCCCTGAAATGGGTTGGATACTTCTGAAATAAAAAATCAACTAGACCTAATAAACCTTAGTTGGTGTTCTCACTTCTTGGCTGTTTTGTTTTTTACAACGCTACTATAGTGACCTCTTTTGGGCTCACCTGTTTTAGACAGAGCTTCCCTCAGTACATGCCTACACCATGATGTCCAGTGCTCTACCAACACTTCAATTACGAAACAAGAGATTTCTCTGTATTTCCTGTTCAAGTAACACAATAAGAAAAAAAGTTCTTCTGGGGACATACACAACATAAAAAAAGATACGATAGCCTTCCCTACTCACCCAAAAAAGCGTTTGACTGTAACACACTTTTCAGTACAAGACCAGCAGTTTATTAATACTTATTTATCACCATATTCTGATTGGGTATGTATTTAGCAAATGATTTGTTGCTTTTTTATCCTGTGCAGCCTACTGGAGCATCTGATCCCTCCGATAAGGACAAGCCTTTCATATATGATAACGTGGACCTTTGTGCTACATGGGACGTAAGTGAATTTGCTTAAAGGGTAACTCCTCCTTTGTAGGAAAAAAATAGCAAAAAAAAAAATATATTGGATAACATTTCTACACAAGTCATATTGTAATATAATGTTATTAAAATTACCTTTCCTTTTCAAACTGCAGTGCTGTAATTTTCTGTAAAATGTAATTCAATATGGCAACCTGGAGGTGTTTTTTTTTTTTTTTTGGAGATGCTCCCAAAGGGAATTCATGTCTAAAGGGATGCAGACTCTGCCACTTTCCTCATTAGGTGCAGGAGATGATTGTTAATAATGAAATCACTCCCATTAGATTCACTTTCTACATGGACACAGAAATAAACTTCTATTGCTTCAGAATAACAAAAGGTAGGAATCTGCAACAAAGTTTGTGAAAAGTCCCTGCAATGTACATAGATCACCCAGAGGGGAATGTTTTTTTTCTCAACAAAAGTGGATTTACTCTCTAAAGTGAAACCCTCTATCATACAAGGAATATATCAAACTGTATTGCTTCTGCTGCAGAAACAAAATTGACACTCTGATTCCCATTGCTGCTGACTAGTTTCCAGAGTGACAGTCAAATGGGAGACAAGCAATCTAGTGCAATAAGTCTTCTCAGAACTCGGATTCGACATTGGTCTCTTGGAGTCTAGTCATTGTTGTCACCCTTTAGTACTTGCCACTGTTATTTATTTATTAGCTTATTCATATGTATTCTTTTTATTTATTCTGATTGCTGATACAGGCTCTAGAGGCATGCAAAGATGCGGGTTTGGTGAGATCCCTTGGAGTATCAAACTTTAACCGCAGGCAGCTGGAACGTATCCTGAACAAACCAGGACTGAAGTACAAGCCAGTTTGCAACCAGGTACTGAACAGAAACAGATTTAGGAAGATAGTGCTTGAGTAACAGGGGTGTTGCTAAGGTCATAACAGAGCCAGGGCACCCCTGTGTGCATAGATTGACATATTGTGGGGTTTCTATAATAAAATAATTAAAGACAGCGGTTTTGGAGTTACAAGACACAAGTTAAAGTGTATGTAAATGCCAACAATGACATTCTCCTACTTGCTTTCTTTTGCTTTGTTAAATGTACATTCGGAATGCTTTCAATGGAAGAGGAGAGTGGAAGCATTCTCTTCGATAAGTAAAAAAGAAACTGGTTGATCTTGTCAGTAATTCAGAGCTGTCCTGTATCCTTTGCACACTTCCTTGTGTTATCTCTGAAAGAGCCCTCCTAGTTCTCACCTTGAGTTACAGAACAGGGGCGGACTGACAACTCATGGGGCCCCCGGCAATAGGGGATCATGAGGCCCCTGTGTCCTTGCACAAACTCAAAAAAGCCTATGAAAAAGGTACCAGGGGCATCTCATGGGGCCCCCATTGACCCCGGGCCCTCGGACAGTGCCCGAGTTTCCAAATGGTCAGTCTGCCCCTGTTACAGAATCATTAGACCCTATGTTGTACAGATCGGAGCATGGGAGCAATTGAGTAGTTTAGCAAAAGACACTTAGAAAGGTGCTGACACCAATTAGTCTACAAAAATAAGATATATGTTACAAATACCACCGTGTTACTATAACCCAATATATGAATAGAAAATGGAAATGAGAATAAAAGGTCTGAATTATATATGAAATCTGATAGGCCTGCTGCTATACACTGACATGTGTTCCCACATCAATGTAAGTACAACATCACCGACTCCGCCCCAAATCAGTGACGTCATCATGCCAGACCAGAAGTAAGGTCGTTATGCATGGTTAGAAGGTGATGCCAATTTCCTGATGTTCATTAAGGGGGCATCGCACTGTAAACTTATGACTCATATATCCATGTGCATGGTTTAAAGTGCACTTATTCATGTGAGGGTATATTTTGGAGTTTAAAATAAAAAATGAGGATTTTATAACAGTAAAGGGTGATGAATGCCTATCTTTGATTTTATTTGAGCTGAGAGTGTTTGAGGATCCATAGTACTGAAGGAGAAGGAGGTGGTTTATTTGAAGATATTCCATACCAGTGGATTTATCCCCCCAAGTGGGGGAAGGCGTGCTGTGACCGAAGCAATTTGATTTACACAGACAATAGTTATCATATGTGTTTTGCACAGGACATTTATAAATATTTTGAGGGGTTTCCACCACTATTCACAAGTGCTTTTGGTCGCTCAGGATATATTTGAAGTAGAACATTTGAATTTGTGTATATTATAGTACCATTTATTTAATTTTATTTATGTTGTATGAGTGATGTAAATCACGCTCACACTATATTACTGCATCATATTTTATGCTATATTGCAACACTTGATGATTTATGTTATATTGCAAATTATGGATGATATTTGAAGTTGAAATGAGTATTTCACTACTGTTATGGTGATGTGTGGAGATATTTTAATTTCATGCAGAGGGGATTTTCACCATTATTCATAACCACTTTATTTACATTTTGGGTAGCTCTACACTTTCTTTTAGTTGTAGTCTACAAAAATGCTGTGTGTTGTGAGCCCACAACAGGGCTTAAGAGCTAAGTGCATTTTTGGCAGATCAACAGGTATTTTTCTGTACTTTCAAGGTATTTAAAGCGGAGCTCCACCTAAAAGGAGAATTTCTGCTTTAAGGACTGCTCCCCGCTCCCCATTAAGGATTGGCACCTTTGGAGAGCGGGGGGGGGGGGGGGTTTGAGCGGGTACCCAAATTCGCCTAGGCAATCGGAAGTGGAAGGTGCCCTCCCTCCCTCCCTGTAGTGTTTTGGGACATATGACAGGTCCCAGAAGACTACAGGACCATTCATGAAGCGCAGCACTACTCGTGAATGTGCAGTGGGGTACACAAGCTATCACAGCCGGGTGCCCACAAAGAAGATGCCGGCCTCCTGGTATACAGGACGGCCGGTGAAACGGACTGCAGGGGACACACCGCTGGACCGAGGGACAGGTAAGTGCCTGTTTTTTAAAAGTCAACAGCTACAGTTTTTGTAGCTGCTGACTTTTATTTTTTGACAGCGTGAGTGGAACTCTGCTTTAAGGGGATAAAACATGAGAAAATGTGAATGTATTGGAAAATTGTACAGCATATGCTCTTTTTTATTTTTGTCTTGCTATACACTTTAAACTTACCTGATATTACAAAATCCAATTTAATGCAAATGGAAGGATTTGTAGCTTTACAGTCTACAGTTGTATTAATGGTCCCAATGGTATCCACCAGTTGCCATTTTGATTTACCTCCGCTGTTTTGGATTTGTACAGTTGTAAAAACATTTTCCTTACAATTTACAGGTGGAGTGTCACCTATATTTAAATCAGAACAAACTTCTCTCTTACTGCAAATCCAAGGACATCGTTTTGGTGGCTTACAGCGTCTTGGGCTCACACAGAGACAGGAACTGGTAAGTATGCAAACTGTGGCCAAAGCTGAATTCCAGTGACACAAGACATGCCAGTGCTATTGAACACATTCTGCACTTAACATTTTATAGCTATTTAAAGTTTATCCCATATTTTATTTGATTCTACATAGAGTGTAAAAGGCTTAGCACCTTAACCAGGTTCTAATACTGTCTCAACTGTGGAGTTTTCCTTTACCTACAGTACATGTTCTGATGGCTACTGTCACTGAGAAAAAAACTAGCATTTTTAGTTGAGTAAAAGAGAAATTTGGATGGCAGCACTCCAACTCGATAAGGTAGGACAACATACAGTGGGGTAAAGATGAGCAAAGTTGATGCGTTTTGCATGTTAGCGCTTATACATAACCTCTTTCATATCATATCAATATGCACAATTGATGAGTAGCACCATCCAAATTGCATCCAATATAGCCAGTGGACCTGCATCCAGGAAACCGAACTTGATCAAAATGCATGCCAAACCCACTAAGTAAAACAAAGCAAAACACAATTTATTTCAATTAATAAATGACTGTGGGGGACTCCACAGGAGGGAGGAAGAGAAAAATAAAATTATATATATATATATATATATATATATATATATAAAAATAAATAAAGGAAGGGATGAACACAAATGGAACACACACACATATATGTCACTCATAAAACTGCATAAATGTGTGTGAGGTCCCATTCAAAGCTCATACCCCTTCATATATGTGTCTACATATGGAAGATCCAAAAGACCTCACATTTGCAAAGTAGTTTGAACACATCTCCCCCCGGGAGGATTGGAGGTTGTGAATAAGCGTTAACGCGTGAAACGCGTCAACCTTGCTCGTTTCCCCCCCCCCCACTGTATATAGTCCTGCCTTTTGGATTTTATCATATTTCAATACAGAGGATTAAGTTGGAGTACTGCCATCTGGGATTTTTCTTTTTTCTCAGAGTGCAGCGTACGAGCTGGGTGCTCACCCTTCCTACAGGTATGTAAGGGGTGGGTAGTGGGGACCGTCCTGGAGCAGCGGTTATCCAGGGTAACATTTATAGCTGCCACTGTAAATGAAATAGGAAGAATAAAATTTTCCTTTGTGGAACACTTATTCTGGTGACAATTGTTCTAAAGAGTAGTCCTTTTCTTTGGAGAGATCTCATCTCGGTTCCTGGTGTGCCTCAAGACAGAAAGTGGAAGAAAATCTCTAGAGAACCAGAAAGAAGAAAAATAAAAACTCCCTAGCACTACACACCAAACTGAGCATGTTCAGAGTGTATCCAAGGCTCTGTTCTATCAGGAGATAAAATGGGGAACATGGAAGAAGGGGAGGATCAGAGAAGACAGAATCAAACATCCTTTTTACACAATGCAGAGGATTAACCCCTTAAGTTCCACAGTGAGAATAACAATGCTTTACTACATATACAGACTGATTTTACTGTTGTGGGTTTAGTAACACTTTAACTGTCCATCAGATTGTTAGGGGTCTGAACTATGGCTGTAGCAGCAAAATATGCAGATTGTCAGTGGGAATAAAAAAAAATGCCCCCCACCCCCTTCCCCACGGTTTCAAAGGTAAACATTGCTCCAGTTTCAGGGATTAGTGGGAGTAAAAAAATGCCCTGATAGTCAGGGAAAGAATAGTGCCCTATCATTGGTGTCAGTTGGCGGAATAGTTTCCCTTTGTTGGTGTCAGTGGGAAGAATACTGCTCCTTCGTTGGTGTTAGTGGGAAGAACAGTGCCCCTTCGCTGATATCAGTGGGAGGAATCGAGCCCCTTCATTGGTGTCAGTGAGAGCAATAGTGTTCATTGTTATTGCTGATGGGAGGTAGGGAAACTACTACTGCTACTAATGCTGTGGTAAGGCAACATGCAACCAACAAGGGATAAGGCAAACAAGTATGGAACAAAAGGCTAAAAATATATATGTGGGCCATAAATGCAAGGTCTGATGGTTCCCAAAGCAAACCTGTACAAAGTGTAATATGTATTGGATTTAAATATGCTGGTTTCGTCAAGGCTCTGCATAGGGGTACACCTCAGCACTCTGATATCCTTTTCAGCTCTACATCCAGTAAATGTTTGTTTGACTTTTTAAAATTCTCGAATGTTTAATATGTATTTAATATTGATGCTCCCTTCAGGGTGGACCTTAGCTTGCCAGTCCTACTTGATGATCCAATTTTGAATAGAGTTGCTGCTAAGTACAATCGCTCCCCTGCAGAGGTCGCCATGCGCTTCATTCTCCAGAAGGGAATTGTGGTCTTGGCCAAAAGCTTTACCCCTGCTCGTATCAAGCAAAACCTTGGGGTAACTACAGCTTTTTACTATATCTTCTGGAACTTTCATGTGCTGTGAAATTACATTTATTGCAAAAACAATTAAACCATAACTCTAATATTGTTTTTGACAGTCCAGTGTGAAAACATAAAGATGTAAATTATACATACCTACCTACATGGTCTGAGAAAAAGATTTTTTCTGATGTAAAATGCACCTTCCTCATGCGTAGACTCCGTGAATGCTACTCTGCAATATGTTGGGTTCTAAAAATCACTGTAGACTTCAAAGTTTCTAATTTTTGACTGATTTGGTAATCAGGAGGTGAACACTTGTCAGGTCCAACACAAATTGTCCAAGTATATTTCATGGCTTTACACACACCTCCTCCAGATAGACAGAATGGATCTTCAAGAAGAAACCCATTGGTCCAGGTTAGATTTTACAAGTAAGTAAAATGCATTTTTAGCATTGTCTTGTTCAGCAATCATCCCGTGGATGCAGTTTTAGAGAATGTACACAAAGATAGAGCATTCCGTAGACTCGGCCAATTCCGTTTGCACCATGGTAAAAATCAAAATGTGATCATCTTCCAATAGCGTCCCTCGCAGATATATTGGAAAAGTTGGTTGTATATGAGTCTCAAAAGTAGGCTTAGGCTTGGAGTTCACATTCCTATGGTTTCATTCAATATAATTTTTTCATAGGTCTTTGAATTTGAACTAAAACCTGAAGACATGAAAACACTTGACAGCCTAGACAGAAACCTACATTATGGGCCTTTCAAAGAGTAAGTGTTCTAGATATGTGTAGACATGGAGGAAGCATCAGTACTTATTTTGCCTAGAGAAACAAACAAAGATGGAGATGTGCCAAAGTGTATGTTACCCTAAATATTTATTTTTTTATATGTGTGTGTTCATGTATGTGTATGCTATGAACCATAGTGTCTATCATTTTCATGTACTTTTTTTTATCTGAAGTACGTGGTTGATCCTGCCACTCGTCTTGCTTCCTTGTTCTAAACTGACCACACAAAGTACAGAAGCTGATCTGTGTTAGATGGTCAGTTTCAAAGGTAAAGGACATTGTGCAGACACACAGCATGCCTGTATTGGGTAGTTTGTTCAGCCACTACACCCCCTAACCAATCACAGCCGGCCTCTGGCACACACCCCTTCCCAATCACAGCCTGCATCCTGCCTCAAGCTGAACACAGTATGAAATGCAGGAACACAGTGTGTCTGCACAGTGTCCTGTAACCCCGCCCCCACTATCAGGAAGAACAGATGCATGGTCACATAACAGAACATTTAAACATTATCAAGGTAAAAAAGATAATTTCTGGAGCTACACAAAATCAGTTATGGTGTTATACAGTTATGGTGTTATACCAGTTATGGTGCTATACCAGTTATGGAGTTATACCAGGTATGGTGTCATACAGTTATGGAGTTATACCAGTTATGGTGTTATACAGTTATGGTGTTATACAGTTATATACCAGTTATGGTGTTACACAGTTATGGTGTTATACAGTTATGGAGTACCAGTTATACCAGTTATGGTGTCATACAGTTATGGTGTTATACCAGTTATGGAGTTATACCCAGTTATGGTGTTATACCAGTTATGGTGTTACCAGTTATGGTGTTATACAGTTATAACTGTATTAGAATATGTCTATAACAGTGTATGTTTACAACTACTATAAGGCAAGTTCCCATATCTGTACAATCTTTGATATATTTGGCATTGTATATGCATTTTCTGTATAGAAGCCCTTTTGATTTCCCCAGCCATTTTAGACAAAAAAGAAAACAACCAGAGACTGTCAACTTTTTCCTTCAGCTGGGATTACTAGGTAAGAAGTTAGTAGGAAAATCACGTATTTAGAGAACTTTCCTCTTTTAGGAGTTATGAAAATATTACTGTACAGTTCAAAAAAAAACTTTAGACCCAGTGGATTCAGTAACCAGCACATTATGAAATAAAGGTTTGCTTTAGGACAGTTGTCCTAGGGGTGTGGCTATTACTCAGCAATGCCAACAAAGAGCACTGTATTGAAAGCTTAGGCTAAATCAGCATTTTCCCAGAAAGACAAGAGTGTAGTAAGAAAAGAAAATACATATATATTTATATATATATTTATACACTGTATATTACAGTGTACTTACCCTAATGATCTTATTGCTTCCTCTAGGATGAAGCAGCACCCAGAATATCCCTTCCATGATGAGTACTGAAGACCAACTGAGTGCCAATGCAGTCTCCAAGAAGATGCTTACTGTATTATATATGTAAAGCTTTAGTAGAGCTGCACCTTGTTACATACAGAAAAACATAACATTTAGTCATTTGCCCAGTATTTATAAAGCATTAATGATTGGATGGGAACGTTATGTCTTATGCCATGTTGCCTCATGCATAACAACCAATAAATTTAATGCTGAACATCAAGAAATGGTTGTGGTGGTCTGTGACTTTTCAGAGGCTTTTCATTATGTTTATGGGGGCTGGAGATAATGATATACATTGCAGGAGATTTACTAAAACTGGAGCATGCAAAATCTAGTAAAGCTCTGTATAGAAACCAATCAGCTGCCAGGTTTTATTGTCAAGCTAAAGGTGGATCTAAAGGCAGAAGGTTTTTTTACCTTAATACATTCAGTTCAGTATCTTCTACTTACCTGAGCCTGATCTCAATTCAACGATGTGCATGAAACATTCCTGGGTCTCTCCCTCCACATTGACTCACACAGCAGCAGGGGCCATTGGGTCCAGTGAACCAATGAGGAGAGAGTGTGAATGGACAATGTCATGTGTGAGGCTGCTTGAGTGCCCTCATAGCAAATGGCTTGCTATTGGGGGCACTCGGCACAGGGGAGGAGCCAGGGCCTCCGGCAGGGGGACCCTTTGAGAAGAGGATCAGGGCTGTTCTGTGCAAAACCATTGCACAGAGCAGGTAAGTATAACATGTTATTTTTTTTTTCTATTACAACCTTTAGAATAACTTTAATTGAACAAGATGAAGTTAGAAGTGTTACTAAGCCCAGGACCCTGCATTCACTATCTGGTCTCCCTTAGTACTCCCATTAGTACACAGAACATTAAATATGCAAAGCTTGTTTTCTTAGTAAATACTAAACCCCGGACTGCTTTACTATAATACAGTACACACTTTGCAATCATTTTAGTACAGTAAACTGCTAAATCTCTTCTCATCAGCAGTTAGAGCAGTCTTGTGACTTCTATCAGTGTCTAGCTGAGAACTGGTTAAAATATGTAGGAGGAGTTTTCTCTAGGAGGATGTAGAGCCCCTGACCTCTGTCTGGACAGTGCTGATTGGCCCTGTGCTGATCACATGCACTTTCCCAAGAAAAAAAACCTCTCTAGCAATACACACTAAACTGTGCATGTGCAGAATGGTTACGGGTTCAGTCTGTCTTATCAGGAGATAAGATGTGGACATTTGGAGAAGAGGAGGGGCAGAGAAGACAGGGTCAAATAGCCTTTTTACACAATGCAGAGGATTAACCCCTTAGGTTCCACAGGTAGTATAACAAGCATGCTTTACTGCATATACAGACTGATTTTACTGTTGTGTGTACTTTAATCTCCCCCACAATGTCTTTTTCAGGGACTCCGATGTATTTAGGCTCATTCACACATGAAACTATAATTGCTGCACCTCTGAAAAACACCTGCAGTGGATTACTTTTCAGAGGGTGTTTGACTGGCAATGGGGAGGCGATATGTAGCCACATCAGTGCATGTTTTAACAGTCAAAATACCGAACCCACCACGCTGCAACTGTGTGCATTGTACATGGTTGCAGTGCAGCCCCCCACTCACATATTTTTGGTCAAGTAAATATTGAATATTTAAATATAAAGTTTACAGACAGCCCTTAAAAATACAAAATAAAACCTGAATTTTTTCCCAAGCTTCGAGAAGATTGTCAGCCTGGGTTGACACTGATGCGGTGCGGAATTTGCTGCGTTTTCTGTGCGAATTCCGCACCTCATCACAATCACACCCCGTTCATGCGAATCACTGCAGGTGTGTATGTTAACAGAACCCGAAATCGGTCCACAAAATGTGGTCCATTGTGCATGTACCCATGCGATCCGATTCTAGTGCAGACCAAAAAAATGGTCCTGCATCTTTTTCATGCAGATACATATAAAATGTAGGGCTCCAATCTCACCGCATTCAATCTCACAATTCGCATTCGCAATGCGGTGCGGTTCCTCTTCGAACCACATGCGGTATACTGCAACGCACAAGTGTGAACTCAGGCTCACACAAGTGTTAATTAACAGTTGCACATTACAATGTATCCTTCTTAATTCAGCAACTTCCGCTATACCAGGGTTTGTCATCCAGGGTACCATGGAATCCAAGGGTTTCTCCAGAGGTTGCTAGGGTTTCCTTGAGCAATGAGCAATTTCTACCTCTCAGATAAATTCCCACTGACACCATTGATTCTTTTAGCTATCTATAATGGGATTATTCTTACCAATGACCACAATTATAAGGAACATTCTTCCCACTGACTGTCACACATGTATCAGGAGTTGTAGATATAATCATTTTTAGCAGGGTTTCCCTGAGACCGGAACATTATTTCAAGGTTCCTCAATGTTGAGAAAGGCTATGCTATACCATTGTACAGACACTGTTTCTGCTGTAGACAGCTCCACCTTAATTTATAAAAAGTGTAACAATAACAGACCTACTGGCAGGAGTAAGATATAATAAAACTATGGTACAGGGGAAGAAGGCTTAAAGGTTTAAATTAAAAAAAAAAGATACCAAACATGTCTATACTTACCCGCTCTGCTCAGTGGTTTTGCACAGAGCAGCCAGGATCCTCCTCTTCTTGGATCCCCTGCCTGCGCTCCTGGCCTCTCCCTCCTTTTGAGTGCCCTCGCAGCAAGCAGCTTGCTATGGGGGCACCCGAGCATGCACACTGTCCAGCCACTGCTCCGTGTGTCCATTCACACATAGAGCTACGTCTCAGCCCCGCCTCCTCTCTCTTCTCATTGGCTCACTGGCTGTGATTGACAGTAGCATGAGCCAGTGGCTTTAGCCTTCACAACCACTTTAATGTTAGAGAAAAATTCCATCATATATTTTTTTTCAATTTTATTTTGTCCATAATTCCACTTTAATCTTCCCAGCATCCAGATGCCTTCTGAAAATTTGTACCCCACATCCCCCTGCGGTGGTTTAATTTGCCCCACAAAACTTTTATGTTTACCCAGTCTATATGTAACACCAATCCTATGAGCCCCCTATGGTGGTGATGGTATTAGATGACCCCCTATGGTGGAGATGGTGTCAGGTGACCCCCTATGGTGGTGGTGTCAGGTGACCCCCTATAGTGGAGGTTAAACTTCCCAGCATCCAGATGCCTTTTGAAAATTTGTACCCCCCTGTGTGTACCTAACATCCCCCTGCGGTAGTTTAATTTGCCCCACAAAACTTTTATGTTTACCCAATCTATATGTAACACCAATCCTGTTAAAACGTATGAAAATCACTCTTCATGGCATAATATTTTCTTTAATAAAACATCTGCAAATGTAATACTACAGGCAGTTTGGTGCTAGACTATTTTGCACCCTAGGCAAGACCAGCTACTTCCACCTCCCCCTTCCTCCCTCCAAAAAAAACAAAACACACATTGCATTCCCTTCTTCTCTTACTAACTCCTTCAGGCCTACCAATCATGGTGCTTGGACCCCCTGGTTCATCACGATGATGATAGTGGTATAAGGTAACCCCCTATGGTGGTGGTGGTGTTAGGTGACCCCCTATGGTGGAGATGGTGTCAGACGACCCCCCCATGGTGGTGGTGGTGTCAGGTGATCCCCTATAGTGGAGGTGTTGCCAAGTGACCCCCTATGGTGATGGTGGTGTCAGGTGACCTTTATGGTGGAGGTGGTGTCAGGTGACCCTCTGTGGTGATGGAGTCAGGTGGCCCTCTTACAAGTGCAAGATATAGAAATAATCCTTGGTGTGATTCGGAGGTTGTAGTGACACACAGGAAGGACAAAAGATTTCTGATTCACTGACCTGATACTGACAACTCCAACACAGCCTGCTCTAGCCGATCACACACAGCCTCCTGATCCATGTGCCCAGGAAGCAGGAGAAGGGGAGGACCCTGGACAAACCTTCTGCACCACCCATGTTGGCAAGTACATGTTTTCTTTCATCCAGTAGGTGGCACTGTGCCATTACACAGAGTTAATGGGGTCTGTAGAGGGAACTTTCCACTCATGGACTCCGTCAGTGTCTCAGAAATGCCAGTGGTCTGATTGGATGCTGCAACTTCTGGTGAACTTTGGCAGCCATCTTAGTGTAGGGTACATGAGTCATTTTGGCATGCCTGGGCATGTAGTAGGTCAGGGAAAGAAACTCAACTTGTTAGGGAACTTACCTAGTGCAGGAGAAAGTTTCTAGCCAGTAGGGTCAGCACAGGGACAATGCCTGCTTTTGAGGAAACATTCTGGTATCTGGATTAGGAACCCTGTCACTGCTCACTGTCAACTGCCACTCCTGCCAGAGAAAGCCAGAATGAAACTAGAAACTGGTGGGGGTTCTGCACCTAATTAACAAAGAGGATGGGCAGTTTTCAATATTAAAAACGTCTGCTGATCCCTGCCAGCTTGGCCCTGGTGTACCATACACAATAATACCCCCCAGCATTGGTGTCAGTGGATACAATAATAATCCCCAGCACTGGTGTCAAAGGACACAATAATAACCCCCAACAATGGTGTCAATGGATACAATAATAATCCCCAGCACTGGTGTCAATGGACACAATAATAGCCCCCAACAATGGGGTCAGTGGATACAATAATAATCCCCAGCACTGGTGTCAATGGACACAATAATAGCCTCCAACAATGGGGTCAGTGGATGCAATAATAATCCCCAGCACTGGTGTCAATGGACACAATAATAGCCCCCAACAATGGGGTCAGTGGATACAATAATAATCCCCATTACTGGTGTCAATGGACACAATAATAACCCCAAACAATGGTGTCAGTGGGCGTAATAATATTCTGCAGCACTAATGTGAATACTATCAATATTGTTGGTCACTGGCAGAAAAATGTAATCCCCCCACCCCCTGCATTGGTAACCATATGCAGTGAGAGTTAACACCCCCTTTCCAAATTGGTGGTCACAGACAGTAAAATTCAACCCCCCATCCTCCTTGCAA